TCCTCCTCCTCCTCCTCCTCCTCCTCCTCCTCCTCTTACTCCTCATCCGTTCTCCCCCGATTGCCGATGCCTTCGGTCTTTGCCGCCACGAGGAGGGCGAGCACCCGCGGCGTCGCCACCGCGAAACATCACGACCAAGTCCCAATACCCTCTTTGTGCCGCATTTTTCGAGCCGGATCGATCTCCAATGGTCTTGGGGCCAAGAGCTGGGCGTAAACGCCCTGTGCGAAAAAATTACAACGCCCGGATGTCAAGGGTAACATCCGCAACGGCACCTCTCTCCCCGCCGCACCGTCGGCGTTGTTTTCTTCCCCCGATTGCCGATTCTTGTTGCATCGGCGATGCATCGGCTACGTCGGCGATTCATCGGCGACGTCCGTGTGGAGAAACTCGGGCTCCACATCGAGCTGCATCGCCGACGCATCGGCGATGCGGTGCGATCCTCCGACCCTATCCATTCCGCCCCTGTATGGCTAATTCCGGAAACCGTGCATCCAAACATGTTTTCATCCCTTGGGGGCGCACTTATTACTTCCACCACCTTCCGCCGCCCTTCCGCCAGCTTCCGCTGGCGGAGGCGGCCTCGTTTTACTTCCGCCGACCTTCCGCCGCCCTTCCGCCGCCTTCCGCGGCGGAAGAGATGACAACTCCTTCGATCCTCGAAGGCAAGGCCATGTTGGGAACGCCTCGTATGGCAAACTCTGGAAGCCCTACATCCTAAACTGTTGCCATCTCTGGACCAGCGCGTTTCACTACTCGCACAGTAGCTACTTGCACATGGCCTGGATCCGCCGCAGGGGATTTACGATATATACATACCTATACGACCACCCTGCGGGTGATAAGGAGGTTGTGGGGGGGTGGGGGGGCGGGAGAGCTCGAGGGGGGAGCGGGTTGGGCGAGCGGGTGATTAAGGAGGTTGTGGGGGGTTGGGGGGTGGGGGGTTGGTAATGACGACAACTGTGATGAACGTGGTGCTGATGGGCGATGATGGTGTGGATGACGTGGCGGATTTTTTTTTCGTTCCTTCGCTTAGGCGACTTGTGTCGCCCAAGCGACGGGCGACCGACGGGACAACGTGGGCTACCGACGGGACAACCGACGGGCAACCGACGGGACAACGTGGGCTACCGCTTGACAAGGCCGGGGGGGGGAAACATTTGTGTTGGCGGACCCCTAGCGACAGCAGAGTGAATTCCTCTCGCTGGCCCACGCAGCTTCGCCTCGCCCGCACGCGCGGCACGAGCACGAACTCGAAACTCGATTTCCCGGTGGGGGGACTCCGTTACACTGCGATCTCACCCCCCAACCTCCGATACACACACATATATATATATGTATATATATGTATATATATATATATATACATATATGTGTGTATATATAAATAGATGTATGTAGATGTTTTCCTTTTATATAAAGAAGGCAGACGTATCGTTTTTTGTTCGGACTTTTGCGAGAAGGCCCTCTGCGAGTCGTGGTACGCGAATCTCTTGGGGGCGCATTTCTCCCGCCAGCTTCCGCCAGCGGAGGTGTCCTCGTTCTCCTCCCGCCGCCTTCCGCCGGGGAGGAGCCCCGAAGGCTCCTCTCTAGAAGCCGAAGGCAAAGCACTCGAGGCGAGGCCCCTTTCCAGGACCCTCGGCGAGGCCCTCGGGGCGAACCCTCGGACCGGGAATCCCTTCTCCTTGGACCCTCGGGGGCGGGGCCCTTTCTTTATGTCGGGCGTGTCCCCCACACAGGGGGATTTTCGACGAAAAAATAAAAAAATACCCCCAAAGTACCCCAAGAAGGCCAGCAAATACTCAAGAAACAGTCCCTAGACTATTCTTGGACTATTTTTGGGGTATCTGGTATTTTTCGTCGAAGATCCCCCTGTAAGGGGGGCAGGCCCGACATAACCCTTCCTGGAGCCTCGAGGGCCCCCCTCCCCTCCAGGGCAAGGCTCTGGCTGGAGCCGCGAGGGCACTCTCTCGAAGGCCCTCCCTGCATCCTCGAGGGCGAGGCCCTCTCTCGGAGGCGACGACGACGCCGACGCCGACGCCGACGCCGACGCCGACGCCGACGCCGACGCCGACGCCGACGCCGACGACGACGACGACGACGACGACGACGACGACGACGACGACGACGATGACGACGGCGGCGGCGGCGGCGGCGAGGCCCTTTCTGAATCCTCCAGGGCGAGGCCCTTTCCCGAGGGCGGGGCCGCGAGCGCCTCCTCTGGGAGGCCTGGCGCCTGCGGGTGCCCGCGGCCGCCAGCGCGGCACACCTGTGCGTGGAGGACAGGGGGCCCCTGCGCGCCGACCGGGCGCGGGGAGCTCGCGCGGGATTGCCGGCGCCACCGCAGCGACCTTACCGCGGCGCTCCTCTGGGAGGCCTGGACTTTGCCGCGAGGCGGACGCCCGGCGGCGCTGCACGCCACCTCTGCTCCATGCCACGCCGCCTTCCCTCTGCTGCTGCTCCTCCTCCTCCTTCTCCTCCTCCTCCTCCTTCTCCTCCTCCTTCTCCTGCTCCTCCTCCTCCTCCTCCTCCTCCTCCTCCTCCTCCTCCTCCTCCTCCTCCTCTCCCTCCTCTCGTCCTCCTCCTCCTCCTCCTCCTCCTCTTCCTTCTCCTCCTCCTCCTCTTCCTCCTCCTCCTCCTCCTCTTCCCGCGGCCTCCGCCGCCACGAGGAGGGCGAGCACCCGCGGCGCCGCCATCGCGTGCCGCCGCGGCCCCTCCCGGCGGGCCTCTGGGGCGGAGGGCGGCTCCGGGAGGCGCCCGCCCGGTGCCCTCGCAGCGGCCCCGCGGCCGCCTCGGAGGCGGTGCGGCTCGGGGGGGGGGCAGCCCAAAGCCAAGGGGGCAGCGAGAGGAGGAGGAGGAGGAGGAGGAGGAGGAGGAGGAGGAGGAGGAGGAGGAGGAGGAGGAGGAGGAGGAGGAGGAGGAGGAGGAGGAGGAGGAGGAGGAGGAGGAGGAGGAGGAGGATGTAGGATGGAGGATGGAGGAGGAGGAGGAGGAGGGAGGAGGAGGAGGTAGGAGGAGAGGAGAAGGAGGAGGAGGAGGCGGAGGAGGAGGAGGATGAGGGCGGAGGAGGAGGAGGAGGAGGAGGAGGAGAGGAGGAGGAGGAGCGAGGAGGAGGAGGAGGTGGAGAGGTGGGCGGAGGAGGGGAGGAGGAGGTGGTGGAGGAGGGTGGAGGTGGAGTGGAGGAGGAGAGTGAGGAGGAGGATGGAGGTAGGAGGAGGAGGAGGCGGGGGAAGGTGGAGGAGGAGGAGGTGGAGGAGGGGAGGAGGAGGAGGAGGAGGTGTGAGGAGGAGGTGGAGGAGGAGGAGGAGGAGGAGGAGGAGGAGGAGGCGAGAGGGCGAAGGCGAGAGGACGGAGGCTCATATCGACTCGGTAGGAGGAAGCGTCCTGCCCCGCAGCGCCGTCTGGGCTCAAGCATCACTCGTGCCCCGCCCTGCCAGGAGGTCCGACACCATCCAGGAGGACGGAGTCAGGAGAAAGGTGGAGAGAGTGGATGGCAAGCTGGGTGCGCTCGAGCCACGTCTGACAGCCGATCCCTCCCTCACATCGCTTCCCATGACGTTTGTTTCTGTATCCGCGGACGCGTGTCATGGCCGACCTGGAGCTCTCCAAGACCCCATCGTGGTGTGCGCAATCGGACAAGGGAAGCTGCGTACATAGGAAGAGGAGAAGGAGGAGGAGGAGGAGGAGGAGGAGGAGAAGGAGGGAGGAGAAGGATGCGGAGGGGAGGAGAGGAGGAGGAGGAGGAGGAGGAGGAGGAGGGGAAGGAGGAGGATGAGGAGGAGGAGCAGGAGGAGCAGGAGGAGGAGGAGGAGGATGATGAGGCGGGTGAGCAGGAGAATGAGCAGGAGGAAGAGGAGGAGGATGAGGAGGAGGAGAAGGAGGAGGAGGAGGAGAAGGCGGAGGCGGCGGAGGAGGAGGAGGAGGACGAGTTGGAGGAGGAGAAGGAGGAGAAGGAGGAGGAGGAAGGCGGAGGACGAGGACGAATAACAGCAGCAGGAGCTGGAGTGGAAGGAGCGGGAATACGATGAGAACCAGTGACAGGCGGAGGAAGGGAAATGATTGGGGCGGCAACGATGAGAAAGGACTCGGATCCAGAAAAATAGGCCGCGCTGGGGTGAGAACGCCATTCTAAATTGTGGGAGCAGAGCGCCGATCCGAACATGAGGCCCACACTGCAGCGGAAACACGAATTGGCAACTGAAGAAATTGATTGTAAGCAAGCATGAGAAACACTAACCCTTGACATCCTGTGTGCAACAAGCGCGGAGAGGGCTCAATATTTACCGGGCAGAGTCAGGGGAACTATAAGAGTAATACTCATAATGTGTCAGTGTAGAGGGGGGGAGAAATACTGAGGAATGACTAAGAAGGAGGAAGAGGAGAAAGGAGGAGGAGAAGGAATGAGGAGGGAGGGAGGAAAATGAGGATGATGATGAGAAAGAGGAGGGAGACGGAGGAAGGGAGGGATGAAGAGGAGGAGGAGGAGGAGGAGGAGGAGGAGGAGGAGGAGGAGGAAGAAGAGATTCAGGTCTTGCTGATGACGATGACGATTATGGTGACTATGCTGCCGACGACGATGATGATGATGATGGTGATGCTGATGATGGTAATGATGATGATAGTGATGATGATTGTGACGATGATGATGCTGTTGCATATGATGATGCTACTAAAAGGCTCTACTGATACTCGTAGTGGTGAGCGGGAGGTGGGAATGCTGATGATGATGGTGGTGGTGGTGATGCTGATGCTGCTGATGATGGTGCTTGTGGGTGATGGTCATGATGATGTTGAGGCTGCTGCTGCTGATGATGGTGGTGATGATGGTGATGATGGTGATGATGCTGCTGCTGATGATGATGATGACGGCAATGATGATGCTGATGTTGATGATCGCGACGGCTGTGGTGATTCTGCTGATGAGTATGATGCTGCTGCTGATGATGATGGTCATGGTGGTGCTGCTGATGATGATGCTGATGGTGATGGGCAGGAGCAGGGAAGAGGGGGAGCGGAGGAAGTGAGGAGCAAGGGGGGGTGGGATGAGGAAGAAAGGGGGGGAGCAGGTGAGAGCAGGGATGAGGAGGAAGAGGAGGGAGGACAAGAAGGAGGAGACATGGAAGAGGAACACGAGGAGGGGGGTGGCGGGGAAGACCCGGAGGCATGGATGCTGGATCTCACTGCGCCTCTGAGATTTGGTTGCCCTGAGCCTCGGCTCGGTGTCCCGTCGGCCGTCTCGAGCCCCAAATGGCTCTGCCGGTCCTCATGCAGCTGGCGGCCTCTATACTGGCAGGCCTCTGCGACATCCCTCGCGGTCTGCCCTAGCGCCCTCCTCCTCCTCCTCCTCCTCCTCCTCCCTCCCTTCTTCCTCGTGACACCCCCTTCCAGGACATCTTTTGGCACAAGTGATTGCATTTTGTCTGTCAGCTCTCTACTATTACTATTGGTTTCTTCTTTTCCTCTCTCTCTCATCCCATGCTTGCCGTCGCCCGGACGTCCATGTCCCGTGGATTTTTCGGTTTCGTGCGTTTCTTTTATGCTCGATGATCCTGGATACTCTCTTGGATGGTCCTCGCCGAGAACAAATGCACGCGTCCGAGCGATGCCAAGACCACTGTTTCCCTTTCCCTCCCCACTCTCTCGCTCTCTGCCTCGCATCCCGAGCAGGATGGCACCCCGGAGAGAGCGGCCGCACGCGACATCTGGGGGGCGTTCCCCGAAACTGCTGACACCGACCAGCAATCACACGCCCCCGCCCATTCCCAAAGGCGCACGCCAAGAAACACCATATGAGGCGTTCCAGAAAAAGCTCCTCGCCTTCGAGGGTCGAAGGGGTTGCCATGTCTTCCTCGGCGGAAGGCGGCGGAAGGGCGGCGGAGAAAGGCGCAGATGCAACGAAGCTGCCTCCGCCTGCGGAAGCACCCCGGGAGCTGGGAACTCGGCGACTACAAAACCATCCTTGCACGAGGCAGGAAGAGGGCGGAGAGAGGAGGGAAAAGGAGGAGGAGGAGGGAAAAGGAGGAGAAGGAGGAGGAGGAGGAGGAGGAGGAGGAGGAGGAGGAGGAGTCCTTTCCAGCCCTTTCCCGTCGCCACCTGAGTGGCTTTCGCCCCGCGCGCGCGCGGCACGCGCTCGGAGCGGTCGGCGCTCCCGCCGCGCCCCGCGGCGCGGCTCAGCGCCCCGCGTCCCTCCCCGCGTCGCGCGGGCCCCGCTCCCCGGCCGTTCCCCTGGGCGCGCCCGCTTCCTCCACAGGCTCCCCGGGGCGTGCGGTGCTGGGCGGGCGCCCCGCGGCCGCGGCCCCGCGCGCGGGCCCGCCCGCGCCGCCCGCGCGCAGGTCCGTCCACCACGATGGCGCCGCACCCGCGCCGCGCCGCGGGGCCCCGCTCGCCTCCCGCGGGCCCCGGGCTGGCGCGGGCCGGCGCGGGCTCTCGCGCTCCGCCGGGCCCGTGCAGCCGCTCGTCTGGTGTCAGGACCCCGGCGGCTCTCGTCCCGCCGCGCCGAGAGCCTCTCCGCCAACCACTCCTCGTGGCGGGTCTCGGCGCTTGCCGCACTGCGGCTGGCGGCGTTGGGCTTCACCTGCGCCGGCTCCTTCCTCGGCTGTCGTGCCTTCCCGCGCGCGGTGCTCGGAGGTCCAGCGCCGCGGGTGGTGGCGGCTGCTGGCTTCGGCGCGCCCCGCAGCCACGTGTCGGCGACGGCCCGCCGCGCGGCCCACATCGCCTTGCTCGTCCCTTCTGGGCTGGTCGCCCTCACTCCTGGCGGCCCCTGCCTCCTCTCGCATGCCCTGATGCCAGCGCCGATCCCGAGGAATTTAGAAGCGATGTTCGACGAATCGCGAAATTAATCCTGGCTGGTAGAATGGTGGGTTCCTTGCGGACCCCCGCAAACCTCGTGGGATCCACCGCCCCGTTGCAAGGTCAAAGGGGGGAAGCAGGACTCTGAGGAGCTGCGAGGAGCCCTGGGGCATCTCTGCTGGATCGCCCTCCGAGTGGACGCGCTTGGAGCTCGAGAGCGTGTGCCTCCGTGCAGCGATGGAGCTTGCATGGTGCCTGGCCTCCTCGGCGCTGGTGACCCGTGGCATTCAGATCCCAGGCCCAATCTGCTCGTCAGCCCTGCGTGTGGAGAGTCCCCGGGGTCAGGTCTGTGCGCTCTTCGGGGGCCGTGCCTCCGACGCTCTCTTCGGGCTGCGTGCCGCTCGGGGGCCGTCAGGGCCTTGTGTTGGACGCTGTGCCTGCAGTTGCACCTCCAGACAGCAGCCATGTTGACTACTGCCTTGCTGCAGTGATCGCCTCGGCCGTCTCGTCAAGTTGTGCCCCCATGCCTCGGGGGGATGCATGTCTAGAGACTGGTGCTGCCCGCATGTACTCCCCTCTCGACGTGTACTGCGAGGAGGGCTGATGATGGCCATCGTTGCTTCTCTCTCTGTGTCTCTGCCCTGCCTCTCATTCTGCTGACCCTGCATGCGTGGGCACCTCAGACGTTCGTCTTCAGGGCAGTGGGAAGAAAAAAGGAGGAAGGGGAGGAGGAGGACCAGTGTGAACTGAAGACTTATCAGCTATGTTGGAATTAGGCCTCCCTCCAAGATTCCTCTTCATAAGCTCCCATAGTGATTCACTTCCATTGGGGGAAGTGCCCCGTTGGAAAACAACCGCTTGAAAATCCTGAAGCGTGCCCAAACACCATGCTCGGGACTTTTCAACGCCACGAATCAACCTGACTGCTGCGTCTTGACGATCCCGAATCGTGCCAGAACGCCATTCCTGGGACTTCAGCATCGCGAAATTAGCATGGCGAAGAACCCAAACATACGCA